TTATAATCTCTTTTTATTTCCTGGTAGATATTTTAAGATTCAGAAATACTTCATTTTTGGCCCCTTCGCTTTCTCTCTTTACAATAAATTCTTCCTCCTCGTCGGGTGGGAGCGTGGCCAGATGCGCTGCCGGAATGTTCCCTCTGGACACGTTTGCTGCCGTGTGTCTGTGAGTATGGGCATCGGAGGGGCCTGGTAGGGATGCTATCTGTTGGTCCTGTTTTATCGACTTCCCCTCACCAAGTGCATTTAAACATATAATCTCATTCATTGAATGGTGCCTGGCCAGTGCTGCCTGTTTGCAGGGTACTATGAATGTTTGTGTCCCCCCAAAATTCATGTTGAAACATACCCCCCAGTGTGATAATATTAGGAGGTAGGGACTTGGAAAGGTGATTAGATCATGACAATGGAGCCCTCATGAATGGAATTAATGTCCCTTTATAAAGGACCCAGAGAGCTCGCTAGCTCTTTCTACCAGGTGAGGACACAGCTAGAAGCTGCCATCTGTGAACTAGGAAGTGTGCCCTCACCAGACACTGAATCTGCCAGCGCCTTGATCCCAGACTTCCCAGCCTCTGGAACTGGGAGAAATAAATTTCTGTTGTTTATAAGCCACCCAGTCTGCGGTATTTTGTTATAGCAGCCAAACAAGAAAATGGGAAAGTGTTCAAAAGTGTGGGAAAGCCGGCCACACTCACAAATGATTGGGTTTTGGGAACACTGAGAAACGGGTCCTGTCTCAAAATATTCCTATTCCTAGCTGTCACTTGACCACTGGAAACTAGTTTCTTTTATTTGAGGCATTGCCTCTCCTACAAATACTACAGCCATCTTGCCCATTACTTCTCGTTTACATCTTGGATCATTCCTTAGGATAAATTATATAGGAATAGAATTGCTAGGTCATCACCTTTGCATCATCGAACAGTTCATTTATCCTGCCCCTAGTAGGAAATGAAACATCCATGTCTGTTTCCCAACCTTCTCTCGCCAGCATCAAAAGCCACTACCTTTATTAAAACTAGAACCAATTTGTTAGGTGAATAAATTGGTTTAATTGATATCTTTAAAAAACTTGTTGGGGGGGTTTTTTTTTTCTTAGTTTTTTTTGGCCTTTTTTTTTTTTTTTTTTAATTTCTTCTTCTTCCCCCCTTTTTTGTTTTTGGTTTTTTTTTGTTTTTTAAGTTTCCGGTTTTAATTAAGGGTTTTTTTTTTTTTCTTGTTCCCTTCCCTTGGAAGTTCTTTTCTTTTTCTTCGTATTTTGGTGACTTTTTGTTTGTGACTTTCAAAATAATTATAACAAGGAGTTAAGTACAATCCATTAATATTTTCTTTTGTAGTTTTTTCATTATTTTTATTCTTGGAATGTCATTCTCCATCCTTAAAATTGATAAGTATTTCACCTACATAAATAGTAAGCGATTTTGTTTTGCACAGGGCTGTTTGCGTCTTGTTTGGTGTCGTGTGAGATGAGACTTGGCCGTGTGTGTCTTCTCCCCGCAGGCTCATCACCTTGCTGGGGCTCTTCCTGCCTCTGGCTGGAACTGTGTACGTGGCAGCCAGGGGCTGGGCGTCAGACCGCAGGACGTCGCTGGAGCGTGGGGCACCTTCGGGTACTTACGGGAGTCTGCCTTTGAGAGAGGCGGGGAGCTGGGAACAAAGAAACAGGGTCGCGTGGATCCACTGCCTGGCCCATCTCTCACTGTCAGAAGCCCCGAGCAGAGGAAAAAGTAGGTATTTTAATGAAACTAAGACCACCCAAGAGAGGTGACTTAGAGTGTGCAGTTGGAACACAATTCTTGCAGTGCTGGATTCTAGTGAATGCCCAGCGACTTCTAAATGTCAGCGTGGAGGCCGGATCTGTGCTCTTTACAATCCAGTCTTTGTTTACCGTCAGTGCGTCCAGGCCAGGCAAGGTCACTGAAAATGCCGCTTTCTTTCCTGGGTACAATTATCCAGTGTGTTGTTGTGCTAATCAAGGACTAGGTTAGGACAGGACTTGGGGGTTTGCTGTAGTCATTCTCTAAGGGACAATTCTAGGATCACACCATCTATTTTCAGTGTCGTATTTGCACACATGGCCCATGGAAGGTCTGTGTCATCACCGAGGTCAAGGATTTACGTGTAGATTGGAGCCAGGTGAGCGAGCGCGCAACACACGCTCAGTCACATAGCAGAGTGTGTCTGAGCCAGAAACAGACAACCCGCCACCGCGCAGTGAGTGGCTGCGTGTCAGCGAGTCACACTGTGTCGTGTTCAGTGAAAAATGACGAGAATGACCTTCGTTTCTACCTGCCTATTTGGCACGGCAAATATTAATAGAATCTCTTTCACAAAAATAGCCTGTTTGTGCACACGCCTTTAGAACGTGTGGAAATAACTTTTGGCAGAGCCCCTGTAGGCCCTTTACAAATGTCCTTCCTTACTCCAACTAGGGGGATAAAAATAAAACCAAACTTCAATGAATGGACCAGCAGAGTCTGAATATGAGACAAAGTGGCCAGTGCGGGAGACGCCCAGCGTGGAAGGCACAGCCACGATTTTCTCAGATCCCATCCGGGTCTTGAGGCAAAACTGAAATAGCGGCGACACCAACAAAAAGCCCCCAAAACTGAAACAAAAAACGCGTTTGTGTAAACATAATCTGAGAAGCGGCTGAGAAGGCCTAGAGCTCCATGGGCAAGTCAGAAACACCCTCAAACTCCCTCCCCAAGTCAGAAACACCCCTGCCCGCCTGGCGGCTCCCTGAGAGCCCGTCTGCGCCGGAAGCACTCACCGTCCGCTTCCCGACAGGAGTCAGCCCCCGCCGCCTGTCACTTCCGCCCCGGGGCCCTGCTTTTGCGTCTAAGGCCCCCCAAAATAACACTGCTCTCTTGTTGCTATGACAGCCCCATCTGATATTCGGGACAGTCACAACGGCCTCGCCAAGTCTCAGCATCCCTCAACTACTTCTCACGTGATGTGGGTCTAGACCCCTCTCTGTCCCACAGTCCGCATGGCAGAGCGGGCATGTGTCCAGCCACCCCCCGTCACACCTGCCGCGATGGCTAACGCTGACCCTGGTCAGACTGGCCTTTATGAGCCTCAGTCTGCACGTGCGTCAAACAGGTCCACATAGTGGGATTTTCTGGAGGAATTAAATGAGATGACGAGTACTTACCTCAGCCTGGGTTCGTTCCTCTTTTTTGCGTTCCTCTTCAGTTAAGCCGGGAGAGGCAGAAAGGGCGAGGGCTTGAGTTTGCCAACACCTCTTGCTCGGCCAGGCTGACCGTCATCCCGAGAGAGCGGCCGTCAGCTGGAGGCCGCGGACGTGCCACGGGCTCCTAACCCGATTGAAGTGGGGGCCTCCAAATTCACCATTGCCTCCATCTGTGGCAGGCAGCCCGCAGAGCCCTGCACTTCAGGGCTAGATCACAGGATCCAGGGCAGGCACACCTGGTATGGTGTTGGGAACTGAAACTAAAGCCTTCCCGCCCCAGACGAGACCCCCTGTGAGCGAGACACGGCGGCGGGTGTGTTAGCTCAGGTGGCTTCCTGTTACAGGAGCCCGTCCTTTGCTATTTAGGTGGGAAAGATACAAGCGAACGTGTGAGGACGTTTCCAGGAAGTAAATGGGTAGCTATGGGTTTCAGCCCCTGGACGGACAGACGTCAGGGCTCCTGCCTCGTGGTCCGTCGCCTCAGGTGGCCTTGCAGTGCTAAGGACCGAGAAACTCCACAGGGGCTTCGAGGTCTTCTAAAGCATTGTCACAGCCAGCGGGGCTCCCGTGTTGGCATGCATCAGGACCACATGCGGGGCGTGTCATAGCATACATTGCTGGGCCCTAACCAAAGACTCTCATTCCGTAGGGCTGCACTGGGGCCTGGGAATGTGCATTTCTAATTAGTCCCCAGGTGATGCCCGGGGACCCCCACTTTGAGAACCAGTGACCGCATGCATTATTTCACCCAGCCCCCATGCCTCTATGGTTTATAATATTTTCCATTTACAAATGTCTTCCTACAGACCAGTTATTTTCAGAGGACTTACAAACCACTGATGGATACTTTTGAGGAGACTTTAGATGGAAAAAAATAATAACGAAATGTATCGAGCTTGTTTGCCATGGTGGGCATCGGGCCAGACTTTTGACATCGTTCTAGAATCCTCACAACCACCCTGCCAAAAATCATGCCTATTTTAAAAGTGAGAAAACTGAGGATCAGAGAGGTTAAAGAACCCGGCCAACCCTGGCAAAGCCCAGGTCCTGTATCTCTCCGTCGCAGCCTGTGGCTTCTCAGGAAACCAGGAAAGGGGGGTCGTGCAGGGAGGTAGCCAGGTGGCATCGGGTGTAGGCACCTGCTGGCTGAGCTGTGCTCGCTGCCAGCTCCTGGTGAGTGAAAATCCTTCTGAATGAAAAGGGTGAGTGTTGTGGCTGCAGGTAGAGACACACTCACAATGAGGGACTTACATGCAAGAAACTCCTAAATAGGATGGCTGGAGCTTCAGAAGGTTAGGTAATTAAGTTCTTCAATTGAAGAGACTGGTTCAGATTGCCAGAGCTTGGTTGTAAGTTTTCATTCTGCGAGGACCTGTTAGTGCACACAGTGTTTAAGGCACTGGGCTCTGTCCAGGGGAATCAGGAATCTCTTAGAGGCGGCTTGAGCTTTAGAGCTCCTCTTGCACAATTACAGCCACTTAATTGGCTCTCAGGATAGGTCAAATTCAATTTAAAAAATAATAAAGGGAGTCCTAGCACTCTGGGAGGCCGAGGCGGGAGGATCGCTCAAGGTTAGGAGTTCAAGATCAGCCTGAGCAAGAGTGAGACCCTGTCTCTACTAAAAAAAAAATAGAAAGAAATTACCTGCACAACTAAAATATATATACATACATATATATATATTATCTGGGCATGGTGGTGCATGCCTGTAGTCCCAGCTACTGGGGAGACTGAGGCAGGAGGATTGCTTGAGCCCAGGAGACTGAGGTTGCTGTGAGCTAGGCTGACGCCATGGCACTCTAGCCGGGGCAACAGAGTGAGACTCTGTGTCAGAAAAAAAATAATAAAGGGAATAAATTCAGTAGATGGTATTAACCATGCCTAAAGCCATAGGGCTTAAAATAGTGGAAGCAGTAGCTGCGTTCTCATGAGCACGTACCGTGGGCTGGCCTCTCTAGAGGTGATTTATTAATGTAAGCATTATCTCATTTGTTCTACATGATAGTCCTGTGATGATAAGATCTCCTTCCATTTCCATTTTGCGGATGGGGAAACTTAGACGCAGAGAAGTTAATTCACTTGCCGGAGGTCACAGAGCTAATAAATGAGCCAGATTCAGAAGCAGGAGTGTCTCTTAGGCCTGCACCCTACTCTTAGCTGCTGTGCCACCTGCCCCTCCGTTTTTGTGCCTGTACCTTGGCCTTCATGTGGCTCATTATTCATAAGTGCCTTGTCCTTGGGAGTACACCAAAGATGTCGTTCCAAGTGACATGCTGGCTCTATGGATCACGTGGTTTCTCACTGACATCTCTGTTCTCCTTCCCCCCAACTCTTCGGCAAACAGGTCTGGGGTCAGGGGTCAGGATCCCTGGAGTCTGAGCTTGGGCAGTGCATTCTGTGCAAGGCCTGTGGGCTACCAACCTCAGGTTAGGGCAAGTCAAAGGGAGGGGAGACCAAGTATGGAAGTCCACATATACACCGAGATGCGACCCTGGAGAGCCTAGCTGAGCAGTCCAGGGTCAGAGCCAGAGAGCTTCCGGGGGACTGCCAGGACCTCTCTGGCTCTGGCTGTGGGGTGGTGCGTCGTGGATAGGTCCGGCTGTCGGGGTGGACGGCGACACCTCTGCTCTTGCCTAGGGTTTCTAGGAGCCGTGGCGCACGCTCTGCAGTGTTTTTCTTGGCAGAAGAACGTGCCGGCCATCTGGACCACAAAGACGCCAGGCGGCACCTGCCCCGCACTCAATGGCATCCGCGTCTTGAGCCTCCTCTGGATCATCTCGGGACACACCAGTCAGATGACCGCCTGGCTGTCTTTGGGTGAGGAGGGCTGAAGAGCCTTTACTCTGGGAGCAGCAGGGAAGAGAGACTCTCTGGTGTGCTGGGATCACGGTGGGCTGGAGGCTGGGAGGCCGCAGCCGTGCCCGCGGGCAGCCTTCCTTCTGCTTTGGAGACACAGCACGCGGCCGCCCATAAGTGACATTTCCAGGCCAGTGTCCAGTGGCTCCTTTAACTCCTCCCAGGTATAAATCAGGCACCTGGCTACCAGCTGGATACCTGGTATTGCATTTTCATCATCCAGAGAGCTGGGTTTCCCCTCCTGTCATGATTAATGAAACCAGGAACAAACATATTTTTTCTTCCTGAAAAATAGGCAAGCAGAAATATGCATGGTGCCCTAGTATCGAATCAGTGTTTCTGGACCTTGCCCCTGTTGCTACCCCCTGAAACCCTCCTACCTATAACAGCGGCACCCTCCAAGCAGGGGACCACACACAGGTGTCAGAATTGACGGGAGGGGCCCGTGCAGGCCCATGGGAAGAATCCTCCCGGGTGATCTGCACCAGGCCGTGAACAGTCCCAGGGGCTGCAGCCACTGTGGGAACACAAAGGGGCTCACAGCCTTTGAATGACAGTTAGGGACCTTGGGCACCACCTTTTGTTCCCAGTCTAAATTCTCCTTTTAAGTGAATTACAGTGATTCTTAAAGCCCTTCCAACACAACTGAACATTGAAGGTGTTCCTCTTGCTTTTTCTGAAAAAGAAATCACATGATTTTTTTCCATTAAACAAAAAGACACTTTTTTTTTTAATGTTTGTTACAGATAATGTACTTGAATGGAAAACCAGAGTGCTTAAAAACCCGCTGTACCTTTTTTCTCGGAGTGGCCCATTCTATCTCGGGGTTGATACATTTTTCCTGATCAGGTAATAAGGTCAAGCTCTGTTCCTCTGCTGTTGTGCTTGTTGCTGTTAGTTTTGGGATGTGTGTATGTGTGTGCTTCCATTCTCACTTTAGTGAGAAACGCTGAATGGCCCACATTCATTTACCTGGGCCTTTTCCCTCATTTTTTTCTGGTTTTGTATTGAGGTGAAATTCATATAACACAGAATTAACCAAAGTATAAAATTTAGTCTCATTTAGTATATTCATAATATTGTGCAACTACCTCTATCTAGTTCCAAAATATTTTCATTGCCCCAAAAGGAAATCCCATACCAATTAAACAGGTACTCCCCAATCTCTGGAAACCACCAATCTGCTTTCTATCTCTGGATTTACCCATTCTAGATGCAGCATGTAAATGGAACCACACAATGTGTGGCCTTTTGTGCCCAACTTCTTTCATTCAGCATGATGTTTTTGAGGTTTGTCCATGTTGTAGCATGCATCAGCGCTTCACTCCTTTTTATGGCTGAGTAATATTCCACTGTGTGGACACACCATGAAACCCTCATTTAAAGATAAGGTAGCTGACATGGAGGAGGATAGTCCTGGTGGACCCGGATCCAAACTCAGAATCTATATTTTTAGCCACTGAGCTGTTCTCCCTCTACCTCTTTTGGATAAAATGTCCCTTCTTTTATAGGGAAATGGTGACAGCAGATGGCGTGCGTGCAGCCACCCAACCCATTCATTGAATGTGTCTTTGTCAGGCATAGTTCTACACCCTGAGGTTACATCAATGGGTAAAACTAACAAGGAGGTCTCATGGGCTTCCATTAGTGAGCATGGGCATGCGTGGGAGGCCATTAACAAATAAACAAGAGACAATCTGATAGTAGGTCACATGCGAGAGATGTTTCAGAGGTGGAACTGTGAAGATTTGTTGATGGATGTGCAGTGTGAGAAGAGAGAGGTTGGGGATGGTCTCTGGGTTTTGGTTTCAGTGACTGTGTAGATGGCAGTGGCATTCATGAAAAGACTGTAGGAGAAGCAGGGCCGGCAATGGAGAGGTCAGGTGAGCAGCTGGCTGTGCAAGTTGGGAGATCAGTGGAAATGTCAAGGCAGGGGACATACATTTCAGAGTCCCTGGGATATAGGAGGCATTTAAAGCCACAGTCCTGGATCTGATAACTTTAGGAGGAGCCGGAATGACAGATGGGGACTGAATACTAGGACCTCCAGCATTTCAACCTTAGAAGGTGGGGACAGGAGAAGTGCACAGGGGGCTCTGAGAATGAGTGACCAGTGACATGAAGGCTCAACTAAGACACTGCGGGGACCAGGAAGCCAAGAGAAGAAAGCCCCTCCAGGAGGAAGAGTGTGGTCAGTGAGGCCCACTGCTCCGGGAGTTGACAATGCAAAGAAGTGATGAATGTTGGATTTGGCAACCAGAGGGCTTTGGTGACATTGGCAGGAACTGGGTCAGTGGAGTGGTGGAAACCGAGGCCCGAAGGAGTGGTGTGAGGATGGCAGGGCATAGAGACGCTGACTGTGCACAGCTCTCTTAAGACCTTCTGCAGTTTAAGGAAAAAAGGAATGGAGTGGGGCTGTGTGGTTTGTGGGGGACAAAGGGAAGTTGTTTGGAGAGAAGGGATTCAGGGCACATCACTAGTGTGTTGGGAAGGGCCGAAGAGAAAGGGACAAATCGATGGATGCTAGAGATGCTGTTTTTGGCTAAACAATAACAATGGTAACAGCAATGTTTTAATAATTTCACCCATTTTACAACACAATTTACAGTTCCATGAAATTCAAAAGTGTATGAACCACTGGGTTAGGTGAGAATTGGTTCCCACGCTGGGTGGGGCAATAGTGAGGGATTACGAATCACCACCCGCTTTCTGCAACACTTACCTCCCTAGCATCCTGCTGGCCTGCTCCCTCCTCTCCTTGGAGTTTTCGTGCAAATGTCACCTTCATAGCAAAGACTTCCTTGTGGCCCATATTTAAAATGAATCCACCCAGAGTTCCTTGCTTCATTTTTTCCTGATTTACTTACTTATTTTTCCTCTTTATCTAACATATTATAGATACCACTTCTTCTTTTTTTTTTTTTTAGAGGCAGAGTCTTCCTCTGTCATCCAGGCAAAGTGCCATGGCGTCAGCCTAGCTCACAGCAACCTCAAACTCCTGGGCTCAAGCAGTCCTCCTGCCTCAGCCTCCCAAGCAGCTGGGATTACAGGCATGTGCCACCACGCCCGGCTAATTTTTTTCTATTTTTAGTAGAGACAGGGGTAGGGGGGAACAAGGGAGAGATCTCACTCTTGCTTAGGCTAGTCTGGAACTTCTGACCTCAAATGATTCTCCCACTTCAGCCTCCCAGAGTGCTAGGATTATAGGCGTGAGCCACTGTGCCCAGCCTAGAAGCCACTTTTGATAGATAGATAGATTATCTCTCCCCTGGAATGTAAGGCAGGAATTTTGTTTTTTGTTTTGTGTACTGCTATATCACCAGAGCCCAAAGCACTGCTATCTATAGATACCACTCAGTAAACCTGCTGTTGAGATGAATGACTTCTTAATTGTTTTATCTCAAGGCTCTGGTGTGATAGTTTCTTGTGGTAATGCAGAGAAAGTTGGGAGCAGAAGGAGCTGAGGCCCGTGCATGAGAGCAACAGTTCATGGTAGGAAGTAACCAAGGTGACAACAGAGTGTAGCCCAGACAGGCACAGTCAGAGTCCCCAGTCTGCAGCAAACCCAGCAGCAATATGGGAACCCCAGGCTGTCAGACTTCCCAAGAGGGCATGGCTTCCCAAGGGGTGCAGCCCAGGAGCCCTGGAGGCTGGGAGGTCTGCCCATGGGCAGCGGTCAAAGACCAGAACTCTATTCTCTGCAAAGGGGACTAGCAAGAACAAGGCAAAAAAGACACCACCCTGTCTCAAAAAAAAAAAAAGAACGACTAGTTGGTGACTGTTTTGCAATCCTTCCCCAGCTCTTGGGCTGGCGTCATCCACCCCTGGTATGCGGTCGTCTCTGCCGCAGTCTGTTCAGGACTCTGGATCTCAGCCCCTTGTAACTGATTACCTTGCCCAGAGCCTGTTTTCCTGCCAGGCCTGGTCATCCTCTCTTTATGAACTTGAAGGCTGGGCGGTGCATGCTGGCACACACAGCCAGACCCGGGCTTTGCTCAGCAACCGCGCTGGCAGAGGGGGAGTCGGTCACTTCGAAAAGAAAAGACTGCCTTGGTTCCTCCTTTCCTGAAATTAAGAGGAGGCCGGAATCAGAATTGGCTGCCCTACTTCCACTTCTTAGCACTCTCTTTTAGATGTCTTTATAAATTTTGTTCCTATTATAATGAGTCCAACTCGCTGCTTTTCAAATGAAAATCTGGCAGGCAGAGAAAAAAGACATTCTCCAACCCTCCCTGATCCCTTCCGAGTCCTGCCCAGCAAGCACAGCTTTGTTTTGCAACAGGAAATACATCTGCTCCTTAGGGAAACACCCACAAGGATCACTGGGATCAATGTCACAAGCTTGGGAAACTCACAAACGTGCTCACCATCGAGTTAGAACTACAAGGCATAACCTCAGTTTCCTTAGCAGAACATTCTGGGTATCGAATTTGTCATCAGGATATGTTGGCTAAGAATTCTGTGATCTTGGGCAACTCAAAAATCTTTGAGTCTCACTTTCCCTGTTAGGGAAGGAGGAATGAAATTATCTTCCCTTTTACCTAGTAGGGCTGTTTGTTCATCTATTCAATCATTTCCTCGGCAAACATTTATTGCAAAGAAGTTTGGAATGGCTGGAGAAGCAAAAGCAATCTCATTAGCAAAAGTACTTTGAAAATGATGTGCTATGACAGAAATGGAAGACCTTGATGTTATTATTTCAAAAGACCGATGTGGTAGTCATTAGTGTTGTTCACCAAATATTTCTATTTTTCTACCTTCCAGTCACTTGGCAACTTTCCACCTCCTGGCCCCACTGTGGTGGAGCGAGCCAATCAGTAGATCTGATCAAGTGGTACCTGGTATTGCCATTATGCTAAGTGCTTTAAAGTCTTATGCTAAGAGTTTTAAACATGTCACTTTTAGACTAGAGCATTTAATTGCTGGTTTTAGGTCCTCTGGAACTCTGTTGTCCTCTTCTATGGTCACTAGTGAACTTTCAGACGGTGGCAGCTCCATCAGCCTGGGTCTCACAGTGAGGACAATTCTGAGCCCAAGGTACCTGGCCCTGGGCAAGTATCAGAGCAAAACTATCATTTTAAGCTTGGAGGTGCTTTGTTACTGCAGCATCATTTATTCCACCCTGATTGAAACAACCGAATTAATCAACCGATGAACTGTGTTACTGATAAGTAATTCCTGTGATTGTTCTTTTTCTCTTAGCGGTTGGTTAAGTGCAAGGTCGTTTTTAAAGATGCATCAGGATTCAGACAAAGGAATAACCCCCAAGGTCATACTCAGATACTTTTTTAGTCGCCTGATAAGGTAGGTTTACTTATATAACTTTTCGATGTCCCTTATTGCTATGTAATGATTTATTATTTTCGGTCTTTAACCCCCTTTTGAAAGAATTTCCAAAAGAAAAATAAACTAAAGGAAAGAGTTTTCTTCCTTACGCAGTTGATTTTTGCTGGTTTATTATGGTTCAGATTCTATTAGGACAAATCCCTTGAAAACCGGTATCTTCCACTGGCAAAAACATCCTTATTCTTCAGCTGATGGGCAGCAGATCTTAATAAACATACTGCCAGATCTTCATGAAATCTATATTCAACAGGAGAATTTGTTTGCATGCAAATGAGTAATAATTGGATCCTGTAAGGTGGAGCACTAATAGTAATGATAAAAATAAAATAAGACACGACCGGGAGAGGAGCTTGGTTGAAGCTTGGGCCAGTGGTTGTGCCGAGAGTGAGGGAGGAAGGATGATGGTCTCCGTCAGGAATGTGTGTGTCATTACTTCTCTAGATGAAACCCATCTTGTTACACCACACTGTTGCAAACTAGCAAAGAGAGTGTAGAAATCTTTGGGGCGAGTGAAATGGAGTGGGCAAGCAGACTCCGGTTGGATTGCTGAGCCTGCATTCTGGCTCACTCACTTCCCGCTCTGTGACCTAGAGTAAGCGTCTCAACCTCTCTGTGCCTGAGTTTTTTCATCTCTAAAATAAGGAGAATGATGGCACTTACTTCATAAGACTCTTGTGAGTATTAAACGAGATACATGTATGTAAAGAACTCAGAAATGTGCTTGACGCACAGTAAGCCCTCAATAAGCAGAAGCTGTCATGATTACTGTTGTCATTTACGCCTTTTAACTTTTCCTTCAAATAGGTTAAGAATGAGGATGAGCTAAGGAATAGACTTTTGTTGATTTTTTTTTCACCATGGTCTTTGTGGTTTCCTCCAAGTTTTACCAATTTTAGCTTTTCTCCTGGGAAGGGCTGAATGCTCATTGTTTTAGTATATTTTGGGTGTGTGGCAGTGGGTTAAGCAGCTGTCCTGTCCTGAGGGTTTCCGGAGGAGAGGGACTGGCATACAGGCCCAGGTTCATGGTGATCGATGCCGAGATGGGCTAGTTAGGGGTTGGGGCAGGGGATCTAATGGCATGGTGGCGGGTTCTGCTTGGGCAACCTACTTCAGAGTGAACGTCTGCGGCTGGGGATTGAAGAGTGAGGCGTGTTTTTCAGGGCAGATGGAGCATGGTGGGTGCAGAGGAGCATGGGGTGTGAGTGGGGTGCTGGGGTGGTCTGCGGGGCGAGGATCCTAGTGAGCAAATTACTGCAGCCCCTAGGCAGGAGGACAGGGTTTGGACTGGCGATTGGCGGTGGGAGTGGAGAGAGGAGAAAGCAAGGACTCTGGAATTTTCTGGCTTGAGCAACATGGCTGATGGTGTCGCCATTCTTGAACTGGGGGACGCTGGGAGAGTGGCAGGTTGGAGCGGGAGCTAGGAAGAGAATGCATCCAATCTGGGACAAAACTTTGTTGAAAATGGAGGGAAGTGACACCAACCCACGGCTTCAACTCACCCTCTCTAAGGCAACTCCAGGGAAAGGGAGTCACGCTCCTGGCCATTTTGACTTCTCGTGCATGCTGTCAGGACCACTTGGCTGTGAGTTATCCCTGGCCTGCTTACCTGCAAGAGGACTGGGAGCGGGACCGACCACTTGTTCACTCGCTTGTTCTGTATCCATCGGAGGCCGCTATGTGCCCGGCACTGTCCTAAGCCCTGAGGACTCAGCGTCTTAGGAAGCCATGCCAAACTGCCTTCCTTCGTGCCAATTCCATTCTAGTGAAGAGAGGCAGACAATAAACAAATAAATATGCAACATGAAGTCACAGCATGCAAATAAACATATGATGGGCCAGTGTGGATGAGTGCTGCAAAGGATAATTTGGAGAGGGAAGTGAGGGGCTTCCTGGGGAAGTGCAGTCAGGGAAGGTGACTTTTGGCCAGGACCTTGAAGGGAGTAAAGGAATGTTCCAAGCAAAGAAAAAGCTGTGCGGGAAGAACGATCCACTCAGGGAGAACAAAGTGCAACCTCTTTTAGGGCATCTCATCCCCCGGCCAGCCTAGTGCCCGCTGAAGGGACTGAAGGGGACCCTTGTGGAGAGTCACCTTCTCTCTCCCTGCTCTTTCCCGCCAGGCTGCAGCCTCTGCACATGTACTCGGTGTGCCTGCTGGTGGGCCTGTTCTCTCTCGTCCCCTGGGGACCTGTCTGGGAAGTGCCCAAATTCCACTGGGATAACTGCCGGCGAGCTTGGTGGACAAATCTGCTGTTGCTAAATAACTTCGTGTCGGTTCGGAATTCGGTGAGTCCCACTCGGGTGGCTGTGAAAGGGCAGATGGCATCTCACTGGTGAACTTTCCAAGGGCCACCCTGAGTCCGGTCCCCTTTCTTCTGGAATATTCTCTGGGGTAACAGTGATGCGTGGGAGCGTGGGTTGCGGGCGGGAGACCAGCCTCCTGTCGCGGGGTGGGTGTGGCCACACCAGTCTGCGCAGGGCCAGCTCCCGTGAGCAGCGGAGCCTGGGGAGCGTGGCCATGGCCGGCGAGGGACCGGCCATCCTGCTATGCGTCCCAGGGGAGTGGAGTCTGCTCTGTCGTCGTGGTTCCTGGGCCATCCCGCCTCGCCCCATGAGGAGAGGACGCTGTCTTCACCGCTGCACGGGAAGCCTGTCCTGGGATGGGACAGTGCACCCACCCTCGCCATGTTGAATTCTACTCAATTTCAAGCCAGACCTGGCAGAGTTGGTTTGGAGCAACAAGATCCAAAATATGTATACGTTGTGGCTTCCCCTAAAGCCCCAATTTCCTCCTAACGGACTTGGAGCAGATGAAATCGCTTTAATTAAATGTCACCGATTCCACATATGTCTTAAAATTGAGGCCAAAAAGAGAATCGCTAAAGCTTGGTGGGGCCCCAATTATGGGATATAACCCCTCGCCAACTAGACAGCGCCCCGCAGGTGGCCAACGCGTCCTCAGGCTTGCGTCACCTGCAGGTGGGGCCACCTCTCCAAGGGCCTGTCTGTGACAGGGCTCCACGTGGATCGTCTGGGCTGTTTTCCCAGACACACACTGGCTTGGGCCACTTGTCACCAGCCCACCTTAGATCCTTGAAGGCAGACCCCCCAGGCCCTGGAGAGAATTGCCAGGACCCCCAAGCCCTGGAGAGAATTGCCCCCAGGAACTCCCTCACATTGAAGAAAATACACAGGTAACTGCCTCATCGTGCGCAAGTGTGGGCAGTCAGTGGCTTTGGCAGGACCATCCCATGTCAACCATTCGTGGGGACTCTGGGGTTCCCCACCAAGCCTGTCTGAAGCCAGGCGTTGGTTCCAAATGAACACGTTCCCTCCACCTAGAGTTGGGGTGGGGACAAGGCAAAGAAAAGAGAACAACATTGACCCTCTGAGTTCCACTGGCATCCTAACGATAATGCCCTCCTCCATGCCTGTAACATGGCGGAGTTCACCTGCCATCGCTCTCTGCAGATGAGCTATGACTGCTTCCTCTTTTTCTGAAACAAAAGCAAAAACTTGTCTGAATCTCCATTTTAAAAATTTTTTATTTTCTGAGACAGGATCTCTGCCAACCCAGGGCTAGAGTGCAGTGGCGTCATCATAGCTCACTGCAACCTCAAACTCCTGGCCTCAAGCGATCCTCCCATCTGGGCCTCCCAAAGCGCTAGGATTACAGGTGTGAGCCATCGCGCCTGGACTTGAATCTCCATTTTTAAAAATGGCGCTAATAAACCTGCCATCCAGGTGGTTACAAGGACTGAAGAGATGAGGGGTGAGCAACATCTCTAACTCAAACTTCCTTTGTCTTCCCAAGGAAATGCCCCCACCCCCCCACCTGCTAAATCCTTCCTCCTAGTCCAGGCAGGCGGACAGTGTGGAGCAGACACGGTAAAGGAAGGAAGAGGTAACCTCTGCTTCTTCCTTTCAGTGCAACGGCTGGACGTGGTACCTTGCCAACGACTTCCAGTTCCATCTCACAACACCGGTGATCATCTTCGTCCATGGAAAGTGAGTCTAACTGGGACAAGTTCCTCTCCTCATGTGGCCTCTTTCACAGAACTCTTAGAAAGGGCTCCACTGCGGTGTAGAACAGGTTTTTAAAATTTTATGAAATTAACTTTTCAGAAAAGGAAACACCAAATGCTCTACTGTTCACCTTCTTCCAAATTATCCTCCAACATTCGTCATACGTACGTCAGGATGTGTTTTGCAGAATTATCATCAGTGTGTACATGTAATAACTAATACCCAGCTGCTTCTACTTATTTTTATAAACATTTCCACGTATTGACATGACCTACATACCTGTCAGTTTTAGGATTTATATACTATTTTTATGGTTGGGCATCTAGATTGTATCCAATTTTTCATGATTATAAATGACTTTGCAGTGAATGTCTTCGAACACGCTACTTTTTCTCAGTTATTTTCTTGGGGGCAGATTTCTGAGTGGAATTCCTAGGTCAAAGGGTAGGAACGATTTTGTGGTGCTAGTAACACAGTGTGAGATTGCTCTGTGGAAAGAACAATGTGATTTATAGCGCCCTCAGCAATATATCAGTGTACCTGCTTTTCTACCTGGGATATTTACCACCTTAATTTCTGTTAGTTTTCGAAACACTTTAAGGCTTCAATAGTTCCTGGAAAGACTTATAGTTTGTAGATTATTCATGCCATATTTTAAGAGATTTATTATTCTTTTCTGCTAAAATAATATGTTCAATTTAAGAAATATTGGAAAACATTAGGTTTAAGGGAAGGGAAAACAATCACCCTAGTCCCATGTTGTCACTCAGGGCGGGGTGAATTCATTGCTAATATTTTGGTGCTTATCCTTCTGATATTTTTTCTGTCCAGCTTTTAATACATGAAAGCATTCTGCAAATGTACTTTGTATTTTAATAGTTTTATGACACATGCATTTCTCTATATTATTTTATTTTTAAGGTAAACATAAGTCTGATGTGTGTATATAACATTCCATTCCATGAATGAACTGTAATTTACTTACAGTATTTTTGTTAAATACTTGGATTATTTCCAATTTTGAGCTTTTGTAACTAATGGTCTGACAAATATTTTCATAGTAACCGTTTGTCTCCGACTTCAATATTTCTTTAGAGTACATATCCTTGAGCGAAATTACTAGGTCAAAGGGCATGAATGTCTTTTGGGCTCTTGAATCATAATGATAAATTACTTTCCTTAAAGAGTATATCAATATTCAGTCCTCTAGCCATCTAATTTAACTGCTGCCAGTAGAGAATATTAATAATAAAACAAAATAAAATGCAAACTTTGTTATTTGGATATATAATTTTTTTTCATTTTTCACATCTCACTTTTAAGTCCTTGATTACTGGGGCCAGAGCTGCGTTCCAAATACATGTTGACCAGCTTTGTCTCTTTTCATGGCTACTTGTTCATGCCCTCTGCAGGGCAGACAGTTAAATCTCAGTCTGACCCATTGATGTTGTTCATTCCAGCCTCATGCAAACATTCAAGTGTCTGGAGCAAAGGAAAAACATCCTAATTTTAATGTAATCCAAGAATTGCACATTTTTAAAAAGGCAAATCTGCTTTTTTATATCTGTATCTCAAACACACAAAGCTTTCTCAATTCAAATGTAAAATATTTTTGGATTATTAAAAGAAAATGGTTCCACGACTTCGCTTCCGCTAAGCACAGAGGTGGCTTCCTGGTATAGTGAAGTCTGAATCAGAAGACCTGGGTTCAAATCATGACTGGTAAATTACTAGCTAGGCGCCCCAGGGTGAGTTGCGGGACTCTCCTCCTCATTTTCCATGTGGATAAAACGGGGATAATGACACTTCGCATCAGCTTGGAGGATAAATGGGATCCTACTACTGAGCTAGCACAGTGCTCGCTTCTCAGTGATGAGTAACCCACATGCCAACTCAGTTTCCTGTCCTTTTCCATTCCAACATAGTAGCCCTGGTCCTTGCCACTGTCCACAAGCAGTGAGGGCCTCTTGCCCCTCCAGCCTCTGCAGGGATCGGGGACGGGTGGCTGGGTAAGCCCCTCCCTCCCCTGCCACGAGCTTCTGCTCAGTCAGGCCAGTTCAGGGCCGGCCAGCTCGCCATCATCTCTGTACTGTCCCTGCGCCACAGAGAGGCCTTCATATGTGCAGCCGGTCCTCTTTCCTTGATTTCCTCTCTATCCACCCTTTCCAGAAGGTACTGGTGTGGGGTGGATGTTGATGATGGGGCCTGGATCTCGGGGGGGTTTGCTTCTGCTCAGCACCCCCACTCTACCTCTGAATTCCACCTCTGCCGAGGGGCAGGGCCACGTGGAGACTGGGCACCAGTGCCAGGTCCTGGGATGGCAGGTGGGGTACCTGTACATACAGTGCTGTGGAGGGAGGGGGAAGGCCTATGGTCCCCCTGCATCCCCCAGAACAACAGCCTCCCAATCTAATGTCCTATTTTAGTGGGGGGAGAAATGTAACTCATGGCAAAATAGAACTGATAAAAGCATATGAGAAGCTCCTGAACTCAAGCAATCCTCCTGCCTCAGCCTCCTGGAATCCTAGGATCATAGGTGTGAGCCACAACACTGGGCTGAGTCTACTTATATTCTTCCTTCTGTGTTCAAATTTCCTCTTTTTATAAGGCCTCTAGTTATACTGGATTAGCCCAGTGACCTCATTTTAACCTTAATCATCTCTTTAAAGATCCTATTTCCAAATCAAGTCACATTCAGAGGTATTGGGGGTTAGGTGTCAACATATGACCTTGATGGGAACACAGTTCAGCTCACAACATTTTATGTCAGGAAGCTTCACTGAAATGGTGGAGCTATGGTTAGCTAGTGGAGACTTGTGGAGCCTGTAGTGGAGACTACTAAATCCTGAAAGTAGGGGCTGGGGATTGGGCTCAAGTCCCCCAGAAAGTTCAACACATATTTGCTTGGGTGGATGTGAGTTTTTGTTGGATGGCCCAACTGGGTGGTTTACCACCCACCTGGGACAATGAGTTCTTAGTACCTCCCACTCCAGACTTGGCTGGAGGACACTCCACCCGAGTGTCCTTGTGACTGAGGAGCCTGGCCCCTACATCAGCATCTTTCCTAGAGGCTGTCATGGGAGGTAGATTTCAATCCCTCAGCTGAAAGCCAACACTGTGCACGCTTGTGACTATGCAACTACATTTAGCTTCTAAATGGAGGGAGTTATAAAAGGTAGGGCTTTTTTCCTTCAGAGAATACACCTGAATAGAATGTCAATGGAATTGAGTCTTTTTAGAACTTGGTAATTCAAGGAGAATGGAGCTAGAGGGTCTGGCAAAACTCACAGTAGATATACAGTATTCTTACCATATCCTCCTTCCCTGTCCATACTCACAGCAGACACTACTAGTCAATCACAGCACCACAGAGCCAGGATTCATCCTTCTTTCCAAGCATTCAACTAAAATTGGCACACTGGATGAAAATCACTCTCTCCCTGTGTCAGTATGGTGAGAACTGAATAGTATCTATGTCATCCTTTCCTCACGTAGAACCATGCAACTTCAAGCAGTGGAATAGGATTGTCAAAGGCGTCATTTGGGTAGGGTTGTGGCTGGATGGTCTTATGCTTGCGTTTGACATTTCTTCTACACCACTGCCAATCCTCTTGGTCCCAACCCTCACGATTCTGAGCAGGTCCAAGCAGACAGTGCCTCGCTCTGAGCCTGTGCTCTCAAATCTCTTTTGTCCCAGAACCTCTGTAGGCCCCTCCTGGCTTTACACATGCGCGATCCCAAAGTGTGGAGGAATTAATTTGTGTGGGGTCACCCTTGACCCATGGGGGACAGAAGACAGTGGGAAAAGGCTTCCCTCTTTCATCCCCCAGGACAGTTTTGAGGTTCATTTCATAGAGCTCTGCAGAACATTCTGGAAGAATTGAGCATTGGCTACCTTGATGGCACAAACCTTGTATTGGCTTTTCCCACTTCCCTGTTCTACGACCCAATCCCTCATTCTTACTCCCACATGAGCTACCAGCTTTCAGGTTTGAGGGTGGGTGGGAACACCTAGACACCCCTCCTACTCTACCCACCCTGCCCTGTGCTTGGAGTGGGTACCGTGTCCTGCCTGTGTCTTACCCTGCTTGGACAGTCCTCTTTCCTAAATCAACCACCACTTGTGTCCATATTGTGTATCATTGGTGACAAGGGACCTAGGGACATCCCAAGCATAGTCTCATTTTGAGCGGCACAGTAAGCTTCAGGGTGAGGCAGGCAAGGATCCTATTGCTATTCTTGTGCAGATATGGAAATTCAAGTTCAAGGCCCTGCCTTGGTCGCATAGCTAGTGAATGGTCAAGAGCCACGACCAAAGGCTACCAGGGGTACTCTGCCCAGGCCAGCTCTCCACCCTCCATCAGCCTCTCCAAAGCAGGGCCACGGGGAAACTCCTCTGATTGTCACAATTTCCAGCCATTTGTGTCCATAAATGTTGCATGAAAGACACTGAAGGATGCCCCTCTCCACGTCCTCTTTTATTTGCAGAAATAAACACGTCCTCATCCTCCTCGGGGCTGTGCTGTTCTTGGCATCTTTCACCGCCACTGCTCTGCTCACGCTGGCTCATAAACTTCCTGTGGTGGCTCCGACAGAAGCCAGGTAAGGGGGACTCCCCCGCCAGCCCCCTCCGTGGCCAAGACCTCCCAGGAGGGCTGCTGAATGTCAGGCCGTTTGTCCTGTGCCCATCAGCTCGTGGAAAACCTAGGTGGGAAATTTTCGGTCTGGATGGGAAAGATGGTTGCATTTTTGCTTCCGAACTTCCAAACCTTTCAGCTTGCAGTAGTGGTGCTGACGCTGGGGTCCTCTCTGAGCTCACGGTGCCCATAGAGATGCTTCCAGAGGAAAGGAGCGCCCCCGCGTGGCTGCATCGTTTCCCCTCCAGTGGCAAATTGCTACTTGGAAGCTCCACTGCTGAGTGGAGAAACTGAAACTTAAGGAAGTTGGGGTCACCTCTTCCAGGTCACACCGCTGGGAGGTGGCATAGGAGTGACTGAACCTCGGACCTTACCCACATGCTATTTTGCCTCCCCGGTGAGGTATGGATGGCTATTCTCAGTGCAGCAGTCAGAGTGACACAAATGAAAGTCAGCTCATGTCATGCATCTGCTCGGATTCCTCCAGTGGCTGGCCGGCCTCCCCATCACCTCCTTTGCTGACTCTGGACCAGCCACCCTGGACCCCCACGCCAAGCACGCCCCCCTCAGCGCCTTGGCACTTGCTGTTCCCGCAACCTACAGGGGACAGCCTTTCTGTTAGAATCTAAGATCTCGGCAGGGCGTTCTTCTTCATGGCTTTCAGGTGTCTGTGCAAATGCCACCTTCTCAGAGTAGCCTTTGCGGACCCCTTGAAATAAAATAGCCCAGAACTGTGCCTGGCACAGAAGTGCCCAAATGGGTTTGTGAGCCGGTGGACAGTGTGAATAAATGAATGCGTCAGTCACTACACCTGAGCCTCCTAACCAGGAGAGTGTCGTGCCCTCCCCACATCATGCCATCTGCCTATGTGTGCGTGCCCAGGTGATCAGGGGGGACGGCTCAGCATGTCTTGCCCAGCAGTTTTCAACCCTGGCTGCACGCTAGAGTCACCTGGGAAGTTTTCAGATCCCACCGATGCGTCCAGCCTCTCCTTGGACCCGAGTCTCTAGGGGTGGGGCCCAGGCAACTGACTTCAGAAAGAGCACCCTAACACGCCCCCAGGATCAACCTTTGTTCTTGGGAGCCTTGGGTTTACTTCTGGGCGCTACATTTTTAGAGCCATCCTGACACAGCAGCCGTTAGAAACGATTACATATTTAAAATGAACACAGTCATCATATTTCCTTGGGATCAAGGATTAGGGGCCCCAGGGAATTTGGAACTTGAACAAGCCAGCTGCCACCTAAGGCAGGATCCTGAGGTCACTGTTCACAGATTGTTACTGAGGAAATTGGCAAATGTGCACCAAATCTACCTCTGGATTTGCTGATTTCCCCAATGGACATTTTGGGGATTCCCTATTCCACATCCAGATCAAACATAACCTTTTTCCTTATTTTCTTGTGTTTTGCAGTGAAAATGCAGCTGCATTGTATTTCTTGGAGTATTACACCAAGCCCTACTGCCGATTCGGGCCGTTCCTTGTGGGTGTGTTTCTAAGCATTTTCATGCACCAAAATCACCAGGAAAATATTCTGAAAACCAAGGTATGGTTTCCCCGAGCCTTACTGTATGACTGGGACTGGCGTGGCCCATCTGGACGGAGGAGTCAGGTTGCTGGGTGTTGAGCTGCAGTGTGTTCCAGACGGCTCTTCATACCAGAGAACAAAGACTTTCTCTCTTGCCAGAGCTTAATTCTCTGCTTTCTTCACTCAGCTCCCTGTCTGGAGCTACAGGTTTGGAACCCCGTGGGGTCCTGCCCGTAGGAGCCTTGGTACCTACCCAAAGAAACTACCGGTGTGGGAAAATACACCTAGTGAGGTTATAAAGGCAAGACCCTCTTCTGGAAGAAGATAGTGAGTTGGGTTGGATTTTGAACAGCACACGCTCCATGGTTTCTGTAGACAGGATTCTTGGTCAGATTTGATGGTTCCACCTGCAAATCAGGACGTGCGGTGTCTAGAGGGGGAGAAGCTGTCATTTGCCTTCAGGTGCACCTTGAGCACACAGTCTCTTCTCTAACTCCTTTGTGGGCAATCGTTCAGGTTCACACTCCAACCTCGCTGCTCAAGCTGGAACCCGGATGCCTCCTTCCTGCTGCTCACTCCTCCCCGTGCAATTGGCCACCAAGCCCCACTGCTTGCTTCTCCTGCCGCCTTCTCCTACCCTCTCCAGCTGGCCTAGTGGGATCTCTTCTCATCTCTCACCTGGACTTTTTCACTAGTTTTTTTTTTTTTTGCCTACAGTCTAGTTGATCTTGTATCCCCTCTCAGGATGATCTACTCAAAACAACAACACCTTTGCCATGTCGTTGAACTACGAAAAACCTTTCAATGGCTTCCTTTTGACCTGCAGGATAAGGCTGGATCTGCTCAGCAAGGCCCTCAGGGTCCCCATGACATGGCTCTTCCT